AGAGAGAGAGAGAGAGAAACATCAATGATGAGAGAGAATCATTAATCGGCTGCCTACTGCACACCCCCTACTGGGGATCGAGCTCACAACCTGGGCATGTACCTCTGACTGGAATCGAACCTGGGACCCCTCAGTCGGCAGGCCAATACTCTATCCACTGAGCGACTGTCTGTTGTTCTTACGTGTCTAGGATGACATCCCGGGGAGATGGCAGAGCCATTTTCTTGTCTAGGCCCCTCGAAGGCACAGGGCATGAGACCACAGAACCCCTCAGTGTTACCTTGCTCCCCGCACACCATCTCTAGGTGCGGAACTGCTCATTAGTAACCATCCTGCACCCACCAATGCACAAGAAGTATGTGTTCCTCCAATTCACTTTATGTCCAGTCGTAGAGGTGTCCCCACTTTGCTTTCTCCTGCCTCCTTAATCCATGACCAATGGATTTCATGCACCTTCCTTACGTTTTCTCCTTTGATTCTAACGTATAAAATAAAGCTGTAAAACTGCCATTCTCCCCAGCATTTTTCTCAATCCCTTGATCTCTTGCTTTGGGGGCATGTCCTCAAAATTTTGGCTCAGACTCTTATAAAAGTTTTCTATAGGCGGGACATTTTTCGTCGACACCTCAGAACCAAAACAGAAGCAGGGGCTATAGCTCATTCTGTATCTTTCCTCTTATATATCCATTTGGCAGAAATAGCAATGCTCCAACCTCCTAGGAACCACTGCTTTGGATCTAACATGTGGCATATGACTAATTCAAGTTACCAGTATTCTCCTCTGCGGGGCAAGGCAGAGGTGGTTAGGGATGATCAGGCCATCAGGGGAGAAGTTAGGGGTAATCAGACCAGTAGGGGAACAGTTAGGGGTGATCAGGCAGGTAGGCAGAGGTGGTTAGGGATGATCAGGCAGTTTCTACTACCATTTGGGGGCTTTTTCTTCCTTTAAAAATTTATCTGTCCAAGTCTTAGCCCCTAGCACTTCAAAGTGTGGCCTTATTTGGGAATAGGATTGTTGCAGATATAATGAGTTAATTTAAACTGAGGTCATATTGGAGTAGGGTGGGCCCCTAATCCAACACAGCTGATGTCCTTAATGAAAGGGGGAAATCTGGACACAGACATGTGCGCAGGGAGAACGCCCTGTGAAGATGAAGGAAGAGATGAAGATGATGCCTCTAAAAGCAATGGGTCCAATGCTGCCTATACCTTGATCTCAGACTTCCAGCCTCCAGCCCTGTGAGACAGTGGATTTCTGTTGTTGAAGTCACCCAGCCTAAGTACCCAGTGATACCTGCTTATAGCAGCCTTTGGAAACTAATACAGAGATGAAAATAGTTACCAGCCCCGTGTTACGAATGAACAACATAACCATACTGGACTGGCAGCAGAAAAGAACTAACCTAAGCAACTTTGGAAAAAAAATATTTTGACTATATACTCTAAGGCGAAGGAAAAAAATATTGAACACAAATATTGAAGTGGCTGATCCTGGGGTTAGGGCAAGGACTGTACAGAAAATAAGAACCACACACACAAAAAGTGATAGAATAAGTCAAAGGGCACAGGAGCCCATCTGAACGGGCTTCAGTGGTCAAACAGGGGAAATTTGAGCAAGAAATTTGATATTAAAATATTAAATTACAACATCCTATATAATAAAGAGCTAATACGCAAATGGCTGTCACACCATCACACCATAAAGGCTCGGACACTCAACACTGGGGGAGAGGAACGGGGACCAGCCAGGCACAAATGAAATAGTGAGAGAGGAATGGGGACCAGCCAGGCTGCGGCCCAGGAGAGGGACAAGCCGCCTGCTCATGGTCTCCTGCGGCTGTGGCCAGCCCAGCAAAGCCAGCCCGGATCCTGGGTGCCTGTGGCTGGCCAGAGGGAGGGAAACCCGGGTCCAGGGTGCCTGCAACTGGCCAGGGGAGGGAGTCCTGGGTCCCAGGTGCAGGATGAGGCAGAGGCGGTTAGGGACAATCAGGCCAGCAGGGGAGCAGTTAGGGGCAATCAGACCAGTAGGGGAACAGTTACGGGTAATCAGGCAGGCAGGCAGGCAGAGGTGGTTAGGGATGATCAGGCAGGCAGAGGTGGTTAGGGGCGATCAGGCAGGCAGACAGGTGAGCAGTTAGGAGCCAGCGGTTCTGCATTGTGAGAGGCAGTCAGACATCCCCTGAGGAGTCCCGGATTGGAGAGGGTGCAGGCCGGGCTGAGAAAACCCCCGCTGCACGGATTTCGTGCACCGGCCTCTAGTATAGAATAAAATAAGAATCATGAATCCATACTGACATAATTACAGAGACAAGAAGGACAAGCTCTTCTTTACAGTAGAACATGAAAATAGAACATTATTTGCAAACACTATGGAAATAACTTTCTAGGTAACTCATGAATGGAGGCCAGAAAGAGTGGGTAAAATTCCATGAGAAATGGGGTATTGACTTAGACTCAGAGATGAAGAAACCTGGCAGACATCACCCTAAGCAAGTGATGGATGTGAACTTCATCAGGAATAGAACAAACAGCATGTCCCTCCTGATATGATGCCCCGAGGACACAGCATTGCTTCTGCGGTATCCCTAACAAAAGTGTGTAACTTGAATTTAATCACAAGGAAACCTCAGCCGAACCTCAAATGAAGGCTATTCTTCAAGATAACCAGCCAGTTATCTTCACAGATTGTCAAGGTCATGGGAGACAAAGGACTGAGAAACTTCCAGACTAAAGGAGGTGAAGGAGACATAACAGCTAAACGCACAGAAAAGGGCTATTAGCGGGACTGGTGAGATTGGAATAAGGTCTAGAGATCAGATAATGGCATTATATCAGTGCTAATTTCCTGGCTTTCATCACGGTATTGTGATTATGTAGGCTGGTAAAGTTGGAGGAGTCTGGATGAAAGATATACAAAAATTCATTTTTCTATTTCTGCAATGTATTTAAATCTTGGGGAGGGAGCGAGGGGGGAGACAGTCTTTGTTGTATGGGGTTGCCTCACTCCAGCAGACCAACTCCTCTTGGTAAGGTCCTTGTAAGACTTTTGTACTTGGCTGTTTTTGGATGTGCCAAATTCTGGAAGTGCAGGCCAAGCCCATTACAGCTCTCTTTGCTTTGCCATCACAGATTTTTCCAGGCAAGAGTCAGGTAGGCCCTAGCTGGTTTGGCTCATGGATAGTGTTGGTCTGTGGACTAAAGGGTCCCAAGTTTGATTCTGGCCCAATTCTGGGGATTGATGCCTACGTTGTGGGCTCAATCCCCCGTAGAGGGCATGCAGGAGGCAGTGGATCAATGATTCTCTCTCATTATTGATGTTTCTGTCTCTCTTCCTCTCTGCAATCAATAAATTTTTAAAAAATTAAAAAGAGAGAGTCTGGCAGCAGTCTGTGGATTCATCTAAATTCCACAGAACACAGGTCAAATTTTCCAGAACTCCCTCACCACCCTTTGCTCCAGTCCATGGTAGCACTGGGGCTAGTGGAGCCTCCTGATTCGGCTTGAAGTAAGGGTAGGGACAGCCCTCGCTTCCTTTCAAAGGATTCTCTCCTCCTCGGTTCCTCTTGGGTGCTTTTCTCTAGTCTGGAGATGAGGGGTGGGCTATAGTGTATAGGACTGGGTCAGCTACCTCCCAGAAGTAGTGGGTGGACGGTGCACTTTGTCACCTGATTTGAGGCTGAACCCAGAGCCCGAGAAAATGCCTAACATGCCAGTTAACCTCCTGTAATACCTGCCACTGAAAACATTCTCAAACATGTTTCAAATAAAAAAGAAATGGTGACATTCCCTATCAACCCTTTCCTTTGTTTTGCTTGAGGACAGTCAAGGCATCCTTGTAAGGGGTTGGTGCGAACATTCCTGAAGGGAAATGGAGCTGGCGAGCCGTCCCTACCTCTTGATTAGAGACGCTTAGGTGGCGAATTTCAGCGAGGTTGCCGTAGAACAGCATCCTATCTAAGAAGGCATCTTTGCAATAAAATAATTTACCTGGAAGAGGAGGTTCTCCATAAGATAATAAACAATACCCAAATGTATTGGCAATCTTTTATTCAAGTCAGAGCTCTGTGTTAGTTTACTGTGTGCTTTGGGATGGAAAGGGCGTTATCTTCACTCGATTCCTTGCTTGGCTTTATCATCTCTGGTGCACGTGACCTTTCCCTTGCTCTTGATTGGAGCTCAGGTGCACAGTCTTTCGTGATTGGCTAATTCAAAGGGAGGGGTTGGCCTCTGTTGTTCCAAGATGGCGCCCTGGGGAGATGCAAGCCATGTGGCCAACAGGTGGCTGCCAAATCACGCAGTCCAAAATGGCGGCTGTCTAAACTGTTCTTGGACAGAAAAGATGACTTGTTCATGCTCACAGGGAGAGGAGGGGAGAGAGACAGAGAAACGTCCACTTATCTGTGCATTCCTTGGTTGATTCTTGTATGTGCCCTGACAAGGGATTGCACCCGAAACCTCGGCATAGAGAGTTGATGCTCTAACCAACTGGCCTACCCCACCAAGGCTAACTATAGCAATCTCTTATCCGGCACTTAAAAGCCTTCCGTGTTGTAGCTCTAATTTTATTTTCCCAGTTTTTTAAACTCTAATTTCGCTTACTATAACCTCAGGCAAAAGAACGACCTGCTAGTCCCCTGCATTTCCTTCATTTACTTGCTCGTGTCCTTTCCTTTGCTGAGAACATGGTTCCCTCCACTGATGCTTCAGGAGCCAGTTCAGATGCCGCCTCCTCGGAAAGGACTACATGTTTCTACTTGTTGAAGCCGGGTGATTGGCATACGGGTGTTCATCATCATATTCTATTTTTGTACATGCTTGACATTTTCCATCACAAAATGTGTTAATAAATGAAAAATTAAATAAAACTTAAGAATTTAAAAATAGTATATATGTTCATTCTATGGACTATTATACAACTCCTAAAAAAGAATGCAGTGGGAAGAGACCTAAGCAACATGAAATTAAAAGGGAACTTGCAGAACAATTGCTGTCCTCTGACTGCTTCCGTCCCCCCCAAATTCATATATTGAAATCTCACCCGCCAAAGCTGATGGTATTAGTAGGTGGGGCCTTTTGGAAGCGATGAGGTCATGAGGGTGGGGCCCTCATGAATAGGATTCATGCTTATAAAAGAGATCCTACAGCGATTCCCTCGCTCCTTTACACCATCTGAGGATACAACCAGAAGTTTGCAACCTGACCATGCGGGCACTGATCTTGGACTCCAACCTCCAAAACTGTGAGAAATAAACTTGGGTTGTGTGGAAGCAAAGGGGCCACGTGCTAACCTGACCAGCTCAGGAGAGACCTGTGTGGTGAGTGGCCTTGCACACTCAAGAGACCTGAAGTGACCACAAAGGATGGTCTGAAATGAAAACCAATTAAAAAGCAGTCTATGTGGGTAGCCATGTCCCAGGCCAGTATCTTCCCTGACAGAGATCCACTTCGATCTTTACTGAGCCTATAGTCTTTCTGCATCTCAGGGTAACTTGAAACTTTCCCTTTTTTCGGACCCCTCAAGGGTACAACCAATGCGCGTGGGCACCAGGCCGCATACCACCCATTCTCTTGTTGTTATTGCTATCTGTTCATTGTTGGCTGTTAGCTATCCTGCACCCACCTGTGTAAAAGAAGCATGTGTCTATCATTTTATTTTTTACCCAATCCCAGAGTCTCCCCCGCTTTGCTTTCTCCCGCCTCCCTAATCTATCACCAATGGATTTCATATAACCCATTGATTGTAATGTATAAAACAAGGTGAAAACCACCATTCTCTTGAACATTCTCTTAATTCGTTGAGATTCTGCTTCCTGGCAATTGTCAACAGTTTGGCTCAAACTCACAACAATTCTTTACAGGTTTGAATGTTACTTAATGTTAACAGTCATTTATAAGCTACCAGGTCTGCGGTATTTTGTTATAGGAGCCCAAGGAGACCAAGACAATATGTAAACTACGACCCTATTTATGCAAACAGGGCAAAGATGCAATTACCTGTACATACATTTGTAAGTAAATGCCTGCCCTTCTGCTACGCAAGTCCATTTCTTGGCCTATATTTCCGCACATATATCCGTAGGGATCAAACTACTGGACATCCCTAAGGACGTATGTGCAAAGGTAGTGAGCAGTCTGCACGTTATCGGAGCTGGAGAACGCTCTCGTTTCACCGGTTTGGGCACCTTACTCCTCTCCACTCCTTCCCTTGTCTGCAAAGTGGGTGGGGGCAGTCACATCCGTCTCCCCGACCCGAGTGGGTGCGTTTTTGGGGGTACACAGCCCTCCTGGTCTCCCAGGCCTGGCTCCTGCCCTGCTCACACAGAAAAGACGGACTCGGCCCCCTTCCGCCCCCAACATGACATCAAGATGTGGGGTTTCAACTTGGGCGGTGTTTCCTCCCCAAGTGCAGAGTCGAGTAGGTCCGGCCGGCAGCTACATCCTTTCTTCCCAACAAAGAATAATCCGGAGGCCCCTCTGTCTCTGGCACCTGCAGCTTTAACTTCGGAAAAGCGGTGAACGGTGAGCCCAGGCCGGTAGGCAAGTCAGACATCCCGGTTATGCCGGTTTGGAGGCCCGCGAGGCATAGGCGGGGGCGAGGAAGGAAGGAGTCGCGTTGCAGAGCGCGTGCGCAGGAGGGCTCCTGTGCGGGGAGAGGGGCTCTCGGGCACGCGCGCGGCGGCGAGACTCTGGGAACTCTCGCGAGATCTGCTGGTGCTTTATAAGTACGCAGAGAGCCCGCGTCCTTTCCCTGGTGCGATTCTGTCCTGCGCGTCTGTGCTGCAGCGCGGAAGCCGTTTGTCTCCGCCAGCCTTCTCTCTCACCTAAGTGCGCGCTACCACCCCATGGAAGATTCTATGGACATGGACATGAGCCCTCTGAGGCCCCAGAACTACCTTTTCAGTAACGATGCGGGGGTTGGAGCGAGGCCGAGCGGGGCCTAGCGGCTTGGAGGTGGGGGGGCGGGAATGCGGCTGAGGCCGGGCTGTGGAAGAAAGCGAGGCCAGCTGGAGGCCTGAGGGAGCGGGGGGCGAGGCGCCAGGGCCTTGCAGCCGGAGGGATGGAGGACCAGGAGGGGTGAGCACCCAGAGGTGGGAAGGAAGGGCGTCCTGAGGCCTGGGGATGAGCGGGCCGAGACCCCGAGTGTGGGGTTCCTTGGAACCGGCTGGCTGAGGTTCAGCGTTGCCTGGGGGACACTACAGAGCCCCGGGCATCATTCTTTCCAAGGGGGGGTGTGCGCTCGTAGGCTTTTGATTCTCGGCCGGTGTCTCTGGTGCAGGGCCCCGGGTTGGGGCAGGAGGCGGTGTGGGCTCGGGGTGTGAGGTGCAGGCCTTGTTCCAGGAGGAGAGGCCGGGTAGCGCCCGGCCCTGCTCTTTGGGCCTCAGAATTCTGGAGCCCAGACAGCCCCGGGCCTCGGCGGGCTCCAGGGGGAGGGGAGGCGCAGGCGCTGGGAGCACGTGGTTGCCACGTGGTTGGGGGAAGGAGGGGTAGGGGCGCTGCATCCGGGGCTCGTTGGTGTCTTGTCACCCCTGAGCCCGGAATCCCAGGGCTCCGTTGGGGCCGTCGGGCGGGAAATGGGGGGTGAAGTGGCCGGTAGCACCTGGATGGAGGAGGCCTTTGTTCGGGGCAGCCTCATGTATGGAGCCTTTTCCCCAGACTTCCCCGCGGGAGGTGGGGATGGCCCGCGAGGCAGGTGACGCCACTGATGCTCAGAGACTTGAGGAAGGTTGCACGTGCAGGTACAGAGGCCCTAAGCCGCGGTTCTGGACGCCAGAGCTGGCGCATTATAAATGACTTTCTGTTTTGTTTGGAGGGAGGGTGCCTTATGTGCGGAATCGCGCAAACAGCTTTTTTTTTTTTTTTTTTAAGATGAGACACGTGCTAAGGTTCAAGTTGGGTCAAATAAGACCCGATACTGTTGCCATACTCTAAGGTTTTGGTTTTCCTCCTCTTCCCAGGACACAATTCATATACTAAGTAAGGAGAGAGCAGAATTGGTTTTCAGTAAACTTGGTGAAGCCGTTTCTTGGTGTCAGTCAGGCTTCAAGTAACTGCACATTCTGCCCCCAAGTTTACTTGGTTTCTGATGCCATGCTGAGGTTTGTTAATTGAGCAATAACATTTAAGCATCTATGTACCAGTAACTATTAGACTGCAATTAAATGGGATCATTTAAATTAATTAAGGTTTTACTCTGGTGGTACTTAAAACAATTTGCTTATTGGTGGAATAGGTAATATGCACTATACATTAATGCTTTTATTTCTAGCCATTTTGAATAGCTGGGTTTCTGGTCAATTTATATCAAGATATTTTTGTTGACCCTTTGTATTGGAACTATTCCCTAGGATATGTGAGCATGCAGTTGAATGATGTACATGAAATTACGTTTAAGGCAAGAATAGACATGTCCTGGGGATATGTTAAGGCCTGTTTGGATGTTATTTGATTGTAGGCATTTGTGTTCAAGACACCTAGGAGGAGAGGCCTGGTAGAATAGTGAAAAGCCACAAGTTGGTTTCCTTTTTGGTTACCCACACTGAAGTTTCAGTGTTTTTTCTCCATGTGTTAGTTGCTCTTTTTCTTCATTTACAGGTTGTGAACTAAAAGCCGACAAAGATTACCACTTTAAGGTGGATAATGATGAAAATGAGCACCAATTATCTTTACGAACGGTATTTAAACTTTTCAAAATATACTACTAAACCTTTCTCGATTTCAGCCTTAGTTCCTATTTGTGCGGCTTAATACTTAATTTTTATTATAGTATTTTTATAACAGTATTGCATACTGATTTTCTGTATACCTGTGATACAAAACTTGGTATTTTTACTACTCCTTTTGTAATCATGTAAAAGTCCAGTTACACTACTGTTCAACTTTTTATATTTATAAACTGAAGATGCCTTATAAAGCCTTTTAGGGTAGTGGTAAATGTTCTTTGTCCCCTGCAGAGACTAGCCCATAGCCTGCTGCTCAACTTGTAGGTGGTCAATATATGTTGGGTAATCATACTGTGGATAGGTGATGACATGTACAACTATAGGATGTTGTCCCCCCCCCCCCAAAAATATATATACACGCTTTGAATAATTATAAAGACAGTGTTTGTTAAAATGCATTTCATTTTCAAAATCGAGCTTATCAGCTGTTAAAGTGTGTGCATTTTTTTGGGACACCCTGTATGTCATCAAATGTATTTTTATATATTTGTTCAAATTTACTGAATATTGATTGTCAAAGTCCCATAAAACTTGAAAGCAACATTTGTGCACAAATTAGTTTTCCATTAGTGGTAATAGCGAAAAGTTTGAGTAACTTTTTTTAAAAAATTACTTGAGAAAGATCAGTTTTACAATTTTAGAAAGTTTCCTCTAAGCTGTGGGACTGTATTGCAATGATTTCTAGAGTTTTCTCCAGTTCCTTCATGTTCTGCGATTCTTGCCAGAATGTAAACCCAGAAGTCACAGAAATATCCTCCTTCCTGTTTTTCTTTCCCCGCCCCAATATTTTGACATAGCCCTTTAGTAATTTTTTAAAATTAAGTGCTCTTTTTCTGTTCACAGGTCAGTCTAGGGGCTGGAGCAAAGGATGAACTGCACATTGTTGAAGCAGAGGCAATGAATTACGAAGGCAGTCCAATTAAAGTAACACTGGCAACTTTGAAAATGTCTGTACAGCCAACGGTAAGCGCACTTGTAATTTGGCTTTCATGGCAAGGTCTAATTCTGTTGCAGTGAGGCAGGTTACCCCAGGGAGAGAGGCTTGGTTTGTTGCTGCGGGGTTGAATGATGAACACTGGGACATGGTGATTGCTCTTGTGTATCAGGTGGGAAAACGGGTTCATTGGTTGGTTCATTTGGTTTATGGATTTGCCTGTCATG